TCTAGCTTATAAAAGTATTTCTGAATAGTGGCTCTTCATTCTGATGCGCCCCCTTCACTTGGTACCATCCACAGACTTTGTGAGGATGTAGATGTAGGCAAGCGTTGGCCAGCACGGGCAAGGAAAGATGGTAAAGCATCCGTCTGGACTTTGTGTCAACCAGGTGTTTCCTTTTTTCAGGAAGGTTGGGCAGAGATGCTGCAAGTCTGCTGGAGGCCATAAGGGAAAACACTGATTATTATAAAGTCGTGACTGCATTTTAGTACAAGGTTAAATGGTTATTGAGGAGAGAGCAAGCAGTAAAGACGGACACTCCCAGAGAGCACTTCCCCTGATGATTTTTTCCTATTTCTTAGGTGCTTTAGATTGGTGAATTGTCACTTTGCCTTTCTCCATTGACTGTAGAGGGAGATGATGCCTGGTTTAGAGCAGATGTCTGAAGTGAGCTCAGTCCCTGTCCAGTGGTTAACAAGTGTTTTCTGTGTGCTGCCCTTCAGGTGAGTGCAGGAGCCTCTGCTGTTGCAGGAAGCAGGGCAGTGCAGGCATGCTGGGATTATAAAAAGATATGATTTCCCCCTGAAGAAACCTTTAGCTCTGCTGAATTCTCTCGTCTGAGAGAGGAGCTGCCTGGCACTCATCCATAACTGGTCTATAAGCTGAAAAGTTAAACCTCTTAAAATCACCGTGTTCGGTTTCTTTGTGCTGGGATTTTCTTACGCTTCCACAGCGAACAAAAGGGAGAGCACGTTGTGTTTTCCTTGTTTAGTGGACTCGGAGGCTGGGACAGAGGTGCAGCCAGATATTACTGGGTATTATCTGCTCTCGGAACTGAATGTAAACCTGAAACAACACTGAAGCAAGACCTAATTTAAAGCTCGTGTTTTAAATTTGCTTGAATTGCACTTTTAAACAATAACTAACTTAAAGCTGAAGCATGATTAATAAGGACAAGACTGAAAGCCACGTGAAGATTATTAAGCTGTATTTTTGTTGAGTTTTGTTCTTCATTTGAAATACTAACTTCATTTTAACTTTGAGGAAATGGTTAAACTAAGATTTACAGTGTAACGGATGAGAAATTGAGAAGGGGATGGAATCTGTCAGATGTTTGAAACTCCTCTTTTCAGTGTGTTCATATTTATGTAACTAATGAACACTTAGGAACAAAAGAAAAATCCAAGGATTCAGCGTTTCACAGATATTGTTCAAAGATGATGTGAAAATAAAAAGGACTGAAAAAACAGTGCAACGGTTGGAGGGTATTAATGTGTGGGAAGGTCCAGAACCACATGCAGAGAATACTGAAGATTTGGATTCCTGGCTTGCGTTAGCCCTCAGCCTGCTGTAGCTCCACCAGTACTACCAGGGGGCAGAGACAAAATAGTAAAGTGGGATGGTTTGATTACAAATGTTATTTGTCAGCGCTAACAGTCCCCTTGTCACTGTTGTAATTTCAGTGATACCGCGTGAGGACCTTCCTCCTTTCCTTGCTGTCACTTAGCTTGTGAAAAGCTCCAGCGGCAAGGAGGATAATGTGCAGAGGAAGAGTGAACCACTGGTAGTACAGCAGTAGATTAGAGAGCGAGCAGTGACCGATGTACGTGTAAAACTCTGGATAAGAGCATGTGAGAATATTTTGGTGGTTTGGAGAACAGGGCCTTTTTGTTAGTGAGTAGAGTGGAGCTGACTTCTAAACTAAGGACCTGAAATACCCTTCATATGAAAGAAAAAGCCACCGTGAACCACAGTGATGAGTGGAGCTATAGTGGGAAGTGTGGATTATTGTTTATTTTAATCAACTTGTCAGTTTGGTTGCTGCCTTTTGAGGCTGCGACCATTCCAGCCTTTCCTGTTAGCTGAGCTGTGTGATTCTGTCGGGTACATGGTCCTGTCCTACTAACTGTAAAGTCCAGGTTAGATCAGTAATGCAGGTGATGATAAACTTCTACACCCTTTGGAATTTTTTTTGGCTCCTGATGACTCCCATGTCTCTGGGATGGTGGGGCTGGGCAGGAGCTGCTTTCCTGGACACTGAGCCATACTGGGGGCTGGCACAGTGGCAGGTCCTGGTTCATGTGGACTTCCATAGTGAAAGAAGGATGAGAGGGAGTATCCCAGCTTTTGATATTCATCTCGTCAGGCAAACGTGAATTGGCAGATCCAAAGCATTTTATTTAATTGAAATGATTTCCAGAGATACGGAAAAAATAGCTCTGACAGTTACATGGTTCTCTGGTTTACTTCTTTATCTTCAAAATCCTGTTTTTCTGCAGTCCCTGAACATCATACACACTAGAGAAGAAAAGCATAGAGTGTTTGTCTAACGCTGATGTTTGATATTTTGTGCTGACATTAGCACAGCATAGTATCTGGTAGTTGGAGGATTTGAGGGAGGCAACATGAGGAATGCATTTCTTATGGAAAAAGCAAAATAATGACCAGAGTATTCAAGTTATCAGGTCCAAAAGATCTTATCGGAGCCAACGGGTTTAAGGACCCCTTTCCCCAAACTTGCCAGTTGGGTTCTAAATTTTAACTCTAAGTAATAATTTACAGGCCCGATCCGGCAAATCCTTCCTGCCTGCAACTCTAGTTGGCTCGTCAGATTAAACTTCTTTTTGCTTCTTAACCTATTCCAGGGTGAAGACGCATGGCTCTCTCCCTTCCATAGGTTTCACAATTCCAACACAAATGTGAAACATAAGTTCGTTCCAATGGTTTAAATTATTTTCACACTTGATGCCAGAAATTTCGGATAATGTTGGGTGGTGATGAAACCAACTTCTTACATTTTTTTGGCGCCAATGAAAATGGTTGGCAGTCTTTCAGGAGCTCTGGTGTGGCTTTTAGTACCATGGCACCAGATTTACAACCGTTCTTCTAAATAATTAAAGCCTATATTAAAAAAGGGGGCTGGGGCTACCTCCCAGCTGGAAGATTGGAACAAGGAGGGGAAGTAGTGGAGAGCATCATAAAGGAGGCTGGAAGAATAAGTCACTAAAGCTTTTGCTGTCTCTAAAACAATTCTGACAAAGCCCGACTTGTAATTTAAATTAAGTGGCAGCCCTTTTGGAAAGGTCTTGTAAACTCATATGCATTCTGTAGGGCAAAGAAAAAAATTTCACTTTTTCTTTGTAAATGGAAGCCCTTCTAGGAGGTGTCAAGTCACTTTATACTTAATTGGTGACCTTGCCCCAAGGGCAAGGGCTCTTTTGAAAGACCCCAAAAGAGGTGTCTCCTGGCTCTTTAGAGAGAGAGGACTAATTGTTGCTGCTGGGCTTTGCAGACATGGAAAACAGAGACACTGATTTCTTTTTTTTTCTTTTTCCCCAAGTGCACTTTTGAAATTAGCAACCCTTTCTGAGACATCCTAGATTCCCCTGAATGTTGTTCAATTAGTTCAGCTGTCAAAAGCGAAGAGCTCTCGTTTCTGTTAGCAGAAATTCCTCTTGCTGGAAATACTAGGCCAAAGGGATTTCCTGGGTGTACGTGAGGACTGAATTTGGCAGGGAGGTGTGGAAATGTACAATATACAGTACGTATGTAATGTATATTATAAATCATATTAGTACAGTCAGCTGTTGAATATATAGTATTTGGATGTACGTGCAGAGCATTTATTTGGGTCATTGCCTGGCTGGCACAGAACATGGGGAAGGGGGGGCAAAAAAAAAAACAGTCTGGCCCCTCTTTACGTGTATAGGATGGGTGTTACAGCCATGCAAGCCCTTTATAAGCTCCTGTACCTACAAGGTGTAGCACAGGCACAGTCTGATGCCTCCTGAGAGGCCAGATGAGACCTTCTCTTGCTAGCAGAGGCTGGATCAGACCTGGAGAGATCTCTCGGGGGGGTATATGGCAGAGCTGTATTTTGAGACTTTTAATTGCAATACAGGTAATCACTGGATTAGTACAATGAAAAGGAAGTCAGAAACCCTCATTGTACGTATTTACTTTCTCCAATATGTTATAACCTTAGGGTTGATTACTAAACCTGGAGGTTTTGTTGGGTTTTAAGGTGCTATCTTTGCCTTCACTCTCTCTTTTTTTTTTTTTTTTTTTATGCCAGAGAAGGAGTGGAGAAAGCATAAAAGAACCTTAAAAACTCTTGAGTTGCAAGCAGAGGAGGACTCTCTGCTGCCTTTCAGAGATGTTCCTGCCAGCCCTGGTGTAAGGTCTGGACTTGGTGCAAGAAGGCAGAGCTTTGGTGCTCTGACCTGTAGCCTGTGGCACTTACTGTTAATCAGACAGGGACTTTGCCTTCCTTGTGTTACTTATTCTAGGGATAGTGTAAAATCTTAGATGGTACGAAAGTCCTTTCCCAGCTTGACCTCTGAAATCTAGCCCATGATTTGCAGGGAGAGCAGAGCTTACTACATGCCCCCTCTTGTAGTCAGTCCCCAAACGAAAACACATGGGTGGCTCTGCAAGTCGTACTTAGGACATCATGGTGTTGTCTGCATGAGTGAGGTACGTAGATGGTCTCCTGTTTGCAGGCAGTCTCACCTTTTCGCTCCGCTGGGAGAGTAAATGCCATTTAATAACCATACAATTCCAGCTGGCAGTTAGGAAGATGATTATGACTAGATTTCTATCAATGGGATATGTTTGTCCTCATGTGAGCTGAGCAGCTCCTAAGACAAAGGTATTTATGCTTCCAGCTAGAGTGGTACTTGGCTGGAGGGACAAGGGAAAGGAAAGGTCTTGACAAGAACCCTCACCTCTTCCTTGTACATGTACAGAGCGTGTTTCTAAATAGTGCTCAGTAATACAAAAAATAAATATGAGGAGCAGACAAAGTCCTTTAGTCTGTATGATGCAGGCTGAACACAATCATAATCACTTTTCCTTTCCTCACACTCTAAATAATGATTGCAGTGAAATGGTCTAGGTTCAGACAGGTTTGACAGAGAAGGTTAGGATACCAAACTGATGAGTTGTTGTTTTTTTTTCTTCTCTTTTGTGGACAGGTTGGCTATATCCAAATTGGATCAGAGCACATGCTAATACAACCAGTGAATACATCAGAGACCTCATTTAGTGGAAAAGAACACTTCATCAGGCATAGACGATCCACAAAATCAAGCCATCCCATGAAGTCGCACGTTCCTGATGAGCACTGCAAGGTTGTAGCAGGTGAGCTTGAAGTGGCTCAGGAGAACAGCCGTGCAATTATATTTTAACTGTTGTTCTGCCAGATATGTCTGTATTTTGAAATTCAAGTGTTTGGGCAGTTAGAGCTAGTGGAAAAAGGCATGCGTTAATGAATCCTTCTGCTACAAGTGAAGGAGTCACATCACAAATAAATAATAAAAATTGTTGGGACATATGCTGTAATATTCAATTGGTGAGAAGATAAACTTTATGATGGGTCATTGTCAATTTCTGACCTGTCAGGTCTGACCCCTGTCCAGGGTCTGCCTGTCCTTGGCAGAACTGAAATTCCCTTCCTGAGAAGAGGGACTAGAGGAAAGTGGGGAGACACTGGGTAATTCTATGGGATCACAAATGGGAAGAGAAGGTGAGTGAGTACCAAGGTATCAGAACTGTAAAATAAGGCACTAAAATGGAACTGAAAAAATTTGTTTCCAGTAGCACCTACTGCTTCCTGGAGGCTTCTGGGGACCCACTACATGCTGCTGTTCTCTGCTTCGTCCCAACGGGAATGGGAATAGACCTCACAGTTGCTGAGATCCCCCCTGCAAGCTTTGTCCTCCTTAGGTTGACAGAGGGAGATTGATAGCGTGATGTAACTTTTTTTTAAGGCTATGGCTCTCATTCTGTGACTGGAATTTTTCCTACCAGATGCTAAGCCCTGAGGGGCTAAACTAAGACTGGATTTGGGGAGAGTATGGGCACCTCTCTCTTGCATGAGACCAGGATAGCTTTAGTCCCTCCTCAGCAGGTAGGTGAGGAAAATCTGGGACTGTGGAATTCCCTGCCCTGGAATCACACAGGAGTTCGCAAAACAGAATATCCCTTGGGTGCTGATTCTTTTCGCTGACTGCAGGCTGGCTGTGCTAAAAAGGGAGCAAAGCACCCGACTGCTGCACAGTGGGGAGCGGGGCTTGCGCCTGCAATCAGCCACTGCTTCAAGTAGCCGTGTCATAAAATAATGAAATTGCTCATGGGCTTTGCCACTTAAAGGCAGACTCCTGAATGTTTTTCATTGTTGTGGGAAAGAAATGTAAGTCATGGCTGTTAATAGGCTTAGCACGTTAACGACCTAATTGACTCCTGTCTGGTTTGGATTAACTTTTGTGCACAAGGAGTTTAGAAACAAAAAAAAATTAATCCTCTCTGACACACAAAAGGTCCGTTCCTAATGAAATTGTGTGGAAATGATGATCTAGGGATATGCTTCCAGAGTTTCTCCTAGGAAAAGGTCTCTTTACTGTGGTACTCCCCAACGTCAGCAGAGTGAAGGATTTAGCAGATTTGTACTAATGGTTCCTTTTCACTGGCTTGTAATTTGGCTTACCCAGGCTAAAATCTGGCAGGAAAGAATGGAGGTTGTAAATACATGGGAAATATTTGCATGCTAGACATTTTAGGTATACATCCTGTATTGTGGAACAACATAGACAGAAGAATACACATCTGTGTAAATACTGTTTAAATACAATGTGGCTTTACAAACCCACAGAGTTGCCACATGTGAACATTTTCCAGTCCTTTGCTGTTCTTTTATTTTCTGAGCAGGTAACAATCACCTCTAAAGATATTTTCTTCTTAAAATTCTGTAATTCAGCGGTACCTGACGTGATCTGGGGTTATTTGGGATTCAAATAAAAGAGAAAACATCGGATGCTGGTTTTTTATGTTATTGATCATGTTGTAAGAATTTAAACAGGACTAAATTCCTTTCTAATTTCTATTGACAGCAAAGGTCCTGTGACATATGAGCATAACTGACTGTAAAAAAAGATATGTGGTGATGTAATGACTTGTGTGAGTATTTGTAAGGCGGAGAGGAAAGCATTTAAAGAAAGCAAAATTAACTTAACCAGAAAGTGTCGTGTGTCAGCGCTACTGCAGGGACAGAGGGCAGAGCTTTCTGAGGGCATTCCTCTCGTGTTCCACCCCAGCCATGGGAGAGGGAAACCGAGCTGAGCAGTTCCTTGGGGCTAGGTAATGCTGGCAGTCTGGTTTGATAAGCGGTTTTAAAAATCCCTAAAACAACTCCTTTAGTCAGAGTGGTGTAACATGTCCTACAGCACTCAAAATTATTTTTAGAGCTGCAGGAGAACTTTGTGGGAGCCAAATTTCTCCTGGAATCATCTGTGTAAGAGGATTAATCTGGCTAGAGTCAGGAATGGGAAAGTACTTAGGGTTTTGCATGAGGGGATCTTTGAGATCTGAAAGTGCCTGCTAATGGATTAAAAAAAAAAATCACAGGTCTGTGGATTCAGGGCTGTTGTTTTAATTCCTTTGTTTAAATTCTGAACTGCTCTAGCTGCAAAAGATGTATCCCATCACCATGGGCCAGGTGCTATTGTTAGTCATACGATATGTGTATACGTGTTTTTATCACCTGTCATCCAGCAGGAGAAAGAGTTCAAGTCACAATGCACATTTATGCTCAGGCATGAACATGAGCCCCTGTGAGGCAAACAGAAAACCTATTAAAAGGTTTCCAGGTGCAGATGCTGCGAGGGGGAAGGAAGGAAAGGTTGGGTTTCATTTGCTCTGAGGCATGGCGTCCTTAGGGACATGGGAAATAGCCTCACAGCGGTGATGTGAAACACTTCTTCGGTTCTCATCTCTAGACACTGGGCTGCATCTGGGGTACAAACCTCTTATCACACCCTGTTCTGATTTTAAAGAACAAGTCTAATGACTTTCTTGTCAAAGGTCTTGGATGAGTGGTCTCTATGGAGAGAGAATGGAGTTTTGTTTGTAGGTTTTAATATATATAAGTAAGAATTTCTCTACAGATAAGCTAGGTGGGGAGAGAAAGAGACCTCTCGTAATGCATCAGACATGACCTTTCAGCACCCTCAGGTTTGGTCTAGACCTTCATGAATAGATTTCTCAATTTATTTGTGGGGACAAGAGGTAGCTTCATGGCTGATCTGTGTTTCAGCAGTGTCTGTGATTCCCACGAATCTCTGACTCCACAGGAAGAGCTCGTGGCAGCCAAGTGACACACAGAGCAGAAAGGGTTACATGGGAGCTGTACTATCTCCTTTATTAGCCCCTGTAGCCCCTGGCAGAAAACACCTGAGGTAGGGCTTCTTTCATTGCCCTGTCTCTCTCTGACCTTGTAATATATATACAATAAAACTGCAGTAAATGGATAAGCGCATTTTAACTATTGTGGAACAACAGTAGTTTAATGAATTTTCTGAGATCTAGTCACATATTCTGCATTTTTTCATCAAAGCTTATGGACAGGAAAAATATTTCAGTTTTTCTTGTTGAGAGAAAATATCAGTGTTAAAAGGCAGAATCAAAGCATGTTATGGAAGCATAGGAATCTTCTCTAACCATGCCGTAAAACGTTCTGTTTCTTTGGGAGAAGTAAGTTCTGTTATAACTTTTCCAAATGTCTCCAGTGATGTATTAAAGTCCTCTTACATAGAAAGGATTTGATATAAAATACAGTCCAGGAGCATGGGAGAGAGCAGCTTGTCTTTAGAGGGAAGGTTGTTATTTCATGTTTATGATATAGACCTCATAAATTATTCTTAAATGTGGGTTTGCTTTAAACCCGTTTGTCAGTTTAGATGAAGCAGTTTTCATTTAATGCAAATGTGCTGCATAGAGAGAAGCAGGTAGTGGAAAAACCAGAAAGATCAACATTTTAATTCTCAAAGTAACAATGTGTTGCTTCTCTGTATAGTTACTTATCAACCTGTTTTAACAATTGGTCAAAGCTGGTAATAATTTAAATAAATGCCCGAATGCAGGTATCAAATGTAGGCAACGCTTTCCATGAACAGGTATAAATCCTAAACACGTTACTGCTACGTTGCATTTCCCCATCTTTACGCGTTTTCTCGTAGCTGTGTTTTCTCGGCAGGTTCGAGCTGGCCTGAAATAGCAGTTGTTATGGCCAAAAAACACGTGCACTAAAAATAGAGACATGTAATGCAACCTGTATTAGGCCATATTAGGAAGCGTCTGTTGAAGAATTAAAGCAAGGATTTCAACAATGGGCGATGCAGAAGATGTAATGTGATTAAGTGTTTGCAAGCAGAGAAGTATTCCCTGGGCTAGAAATTCAGCGCTCTACCCATGGGAGTCTGCCTCACTTGTGTGGATAAATCCCTTGGTTTCTCCAGGTCCCTGGTCTTCCAAACAGGGAGTCTGGATTTTTCCTGCGAGTGTGTGATTGTTTCCTTATGGCTGAAAAAGAGCAGCCCTTGGGAGCAGGTTCGCATTCAGCAGCGTCCTTTTCCATCACATGCGGCAAAGGAAGTTTTATTGCCAGTCTGTTGTGGATGAAGCCCCTCAGCATGAGGGCATGGATAATGTGGAGCCGGAGGGACTTCAGTGTCATCTTCTTTGACCGTCAAGGTGCAAAAGAGACCAAAAAAGAGGACATGCAAATGCAAGGTGGCTCCAGGAGACTAAGGTACATTGCATACCTTTTACCTCAGGATTAGAGCCAAGAGTGGGGAATTAGGACACTGTTGGCCTTAACTCCTAATGGTGTTTGATCTTTTAGCTTCAGCAGATTCCTTGGGATCTTTCTTATAAAAGCGACTGAGTGTTGGTCACCTACCTGTTTGTGTGGGAATGCTTAGGGGCAGGTTTTGCCTCCGTTCAAAAGCTCTAAGCTTCCTTGGAGGGAGTTTGCAATTATGAGTGATCAGCCGTAGATGCCCTAGACTGTCAGCCCGAGACTGAAGGCACAGAAAATTGGAGGATATTTAGACTACAACCTCTAACTCTCAAACAGTTTTTTTATTTGCAAATTAGGGCTATTAATTCTGAGCTGGCAGTGGTACCAAGAGCCTCTGGATCTGAAAGTTGCTCTATAAACTGCTGGTTTCTTTCTCAGCTGATCTGCTCCCCGTGTAGTTTGACATATCTGTCTACATTTGGGATTAAAAATAACTGTTACTCTACTTTTTACTGTCCTTTGACCTGCTGAGACAACGCTGTTACGGGAGTTGAACCTGTATTCT